TTAGCCATAAATGGGTTAAGCCATTTTTATCCGGAACTGAAAACGGGAAAACTTCGCAAATCGAAATATTTAAGAACCTATAGCATATTTCACAATGGCTTAATGGCAGCTGGAATACCTGTGGTATTACATGATCTTCTAATGGATAATTCTGCACTGCGTTCGAGGCTAAATTTGAATCAGATTAAGTTGACAAACATTTTCTTTGGCACTTTCAATGTGACTTTAATCCTAGCCTGCATTCATTGTGGACAGTTTTTACAAAACTCCATTTGGCGGATGCACGAGAGGCTGACGAAAGTGAACCATTTCGATTGTGGAGCAGCAGCAGCTCCTTTAAGGCTGCTGTTCTTAGTTAAGCTGCTGCTCATATTACTCCAATTCGCACTGCAGCTATACTATCTCATTTCCAATTGGAATGCGTCCAGCGCCTTCCAGTGCCTGGGCAGCTTTTGGAAGTTCAGCACTTCCAATATGATTATCGCCGCTTCGCTATTGATCTTCGCTCTGCTCTGGCAGCTGACCAATTGCCAATTGGCTGTGCAGCTCCAATTGGAAAAGCTGCTAAGACAGCGGCCAAGGCAGCCACAGCAACTGCTTCAACTGCTAGCCCAACAACAAAAGCTTCTCAATATCGTATCGAACTTATGCTCCACATTTCGTCATATTTTACTTTGGTATTTACTGCGACTCTTTCTAACTGCCATACAAAGTGCTTACCTGCTGATAAGAATCCAATTCGGGAAACGGAATTCATATTTAAATTTTAGAGCCGCTCTCCTCATTTCCGTAGTCGCTTTGCATTCCTTGACGGAATTTTATCTATTGAATTTCTTGGCTGGTTTCATCGAGCAGCTTAGATTGAATATCCTGTGCATCCTGCAGCGGGCCAAACCTCAAATGCAGCTCATTGAGCGTATCGTAAGTATGATTCCGATTAAATAAGCTATTATCGTAATTCGATTTACATTGCAGAACTCTTGGCTGGCCTTACAGCTGAGCTTTCAGAGCAGCGGAATTCATATCTTTGGCATCGTCACCCTCAATCGCTGTTTGCTCTTCTACTTATTCGCACAGACGGTGGAAAACTCGCTATATATGATACAAAATGATTATTTAACTATTATGTAAATGGATATGGAATGGGAGATGATAGCAAGTTGCGGACGCTACTTTATTTACCTTTTCTCATCTTACGATATTTGTCTGCGTATATATGTATGCTTCTATTCGCTTAATAAATTCCAATATGTTAGATTTAACATACGCGCACTTTACGATACACAGGCGCAGCATATCGTAAATGCAGCATAACAGAGCAATTTGCATAGAATTGATGCAAACGATATTTGTATTGCTTACGCATGTGTATTTTTGTATGTATGTTATGTATATGTGTACGTGTATGTTAATAATATAATACTATTATTCAATGAGTTGATTTTTCTGAGTCACATCGTAAATTAAGTTATTTACGATATGCAAAGTCTATTTATATATGTATGTATGTATGTATGTATGTAGATACATAACTTATTTATTAGCTGCAGAACGAAAAGTAAATAAACGATGTTTGCTATTCTTAAACATAGCAAGAAAGTAAGCAGTATTCCATAATGAAATTATTCATAGCTACATATGTATGTACATACAATATGTACATACATATGTATATTCATATGTAGATGCGTGGGTGTATGTGTAGGAAAAGATATTCCAGCAACTGAAACTGTGTAGGTTTGCGAAATTCTGTTTCCATATAATTTCGAGTTTATACCTCTGCATAGCCTCTTTTAAAAAGGACACGTTTTCATATTCGTAGCAAGCAATTTACTTTCAGTTTTGAGATATTACAAAGATTTTTTTTATGTTTTTGGTAATTTCCGTTTTCTATTCGGATTCTAACAAGATTATTTTTTAATTTGTACCATTAGAAATGTTTGGTTAGGGACATACAAACAACTCCAACTGGACTCCAATTGGGTGGTAGACAGAGAGAGAGAGAGAGAGAGAGAGAGAGAGAGAGAGAGTGAGCAGAAGAGCAGAGGGCCAAAGGTGGGAGTAGCTGACAAGAAAGTTGTGAAAGCCAAAGCGAGGCCCCAAGTTGAGAACCCACTAGGAAACTGGGTCAGCAGTCAGCGTCGAGTGTGTAGAGCGCGAAAGTGTGGCGTTAGAGGGAGATGGAGATACATACACACACTTACATATACAGCTACTGCTGCTGGTGCTGGTGGAGAGCGTGTCAGATAAAACGAAATCCAGTTGTGTGGCTTTTCGTGGGAGCCGACCACCAAATGCTTTTTGTTAAGGGCCACAGCATTTTCCTGCATTTGTATCTGTCAGCTACTTGCTGCATTAGAAAAAGCAACAACAATTATGCGCCAAAACGCTGCCAGATGAGAAAAAAACTCTAGAAAAAAATGACTTCAGCATACAGAAAATGTGTCCAAACTAATGGCGCTGACTCAGCCTCAGTTGCCGACGCTGACAGAGAGAGAGAGAGCGAGCGAGAAACCGAAAGCTTTGCTGAGCTACACAAAACTACAATGTTCGTACATACATACATGTACATACAACAAATACAGATACATACACAGTGGCGGAACACGAACACGTGATACCTCATGTCGATGGTGTGTGTGTATGTGTGTGTGTTGAAGCTGTCGCAGTCGCAGCTTTTTAACGAAACTTCTCGCTCGCTCTCTTTGGGTAGAGCGCGCGCGCACTTCTAAGTAAATTCAAATTCGACGCGCTTTTTGTAGCTTTCGCTGACACATTATGTACAAAGTATGTATGCGTGTGTGTGTGCAGGGGTGTAACGTACAGAGAACTGGGGAATTTTCGCGCAGGGACTGCGACGTTGACGCAGCATTTAAGTGTGCCACATTTTTTTATGTTTGCTGCCTGGTTGCCAAGCGCGCGCACTCACACACTTACAGCAACAAAATATATACTGACATTCTGTTTTTTTCTTTTCCTTATGTCAAAATTGATGTGAATTAACAGCCAAACGTTAGCGTTGACTGCAGCATTTCAATTACAGTCAGAATTCGTGTCAAATGCATATTTAGAAAATACACACATACATATTTCAATTGTTTTGTATATGTACATGTGTATGTACATATGTATGTTGCTGTCGCTGAAAACATAAGAAACTATTTGTCGTTTATCGACATTTCGTCTGTTTACTTAACCTAAATGCGCGTCTCATACCGTCCCGTTCATCCACACATGTGTGTATGTATGTTATTGGACTTATGTAAGGCTGGGTGCGGAAGTGGGCTACATATATACAGCGAGCAAGCATATGTAGTAAACAGATGGGAGCGAAAGAGATAAAGAGATGAGGTGAGAGCGCGCGCGCAGCCAGGGGCCGCCCTTTGCTCTAATAAATACGAGCTTTTTTAAGTGTACGCCTACACACAACTACTAAACAAAAAGCTGTAAACTAAAGATGGTACAGGGGAAAGAGGCGAGGCGGTTTAAGAGAAACGCAGCATGTGTAAAATTTTGCCATTTATACATATATTTTTATATTATTCCACTTAATGCATAAAGTTACTTATATCGATTTAAATGGGATTACATACATACATATTTATATGTTTTCTTCATTTTTTCTGCATGTACACGAGAATGGAAAATTGTTAGAATATATATTTTTGTTGTTTTTATAAATTGTTGCATAATTCAATTAGTCTATAAATGAATTGTGGGCGTATGGGTGTGTGTATGTGCCCCGCCTTGGCCTATATTTGCCTATTATTGTACACAATTTACTTCCATTCCAGATATAATTGATATATCAAGCATACATATGTAAACTAAAAAAGTTCTTGCTGCTTGCATTAAACATATTTAATTATCTTTAAAAATCGACTAAAATCAAAAGGGCAAATTTCAACTATATATATGCATATACTTGATATTTATGCATATAACAAGGTATGGATTTCAATACCAATTACAGTTGGTTATAAAAAATTAATAGGAATATACGTAGATTTCTGTATTTATAAAAAGTTTTAAAGCCAAGCGAAAACGTGTAAGATATTTATTTTTAATGTGTACAAAAAATTAAGCGTGAATTGAAAATGATTTGTAAAAAATTAGATGTAACTATACATACATATACATATGAACGATGTATATATATATATATATGATTTAAAGTTATTACATATATGTATATATAAATTTTATATGCGCTTTGTTGCTGCTGCTGATTTCTTCGTTTAGTTATTAATTATTAATTATTGTTGTTGACCTTTATCAATATAGCAACAACTACATATATACATTCATTATTTTTTATTACATTTTTGTTTGAATTTTTTTTACGTTTTTTTTTTTAGTAAATTCTGTTTTTTCCTGTCATGGGGGCGTGTGACGTTGTTTTGCCCAGGTGTAAAACCACAGGTAAATACAGGAATTTGCATTTTTGTTCTTTTTTTTTCATTTATAATTATAATACAACTGAGTTAAAATTGGTTGTTATTATCTTGTTAATTTAACATTTGCTGGCGTTTAAAATGTTTCGTTTTCTCTTCGTATCGGTTAATGTGTATGTATGTACGCGTGTGTGTTTGTATGTTTCTTTTTATATGTATATATATATCTCAACACAGATATTATTAAATACAGCTCGAATTTATCATATATATATATATCTCGGTATTTAACAGATGGCTTTCTATATCTTTTTTTTTTTTTGCTTTTTGTTTTCCTTTTTTTTTTTGTTTTTGTTTTTTTTTTTTTTTTAGCTAATTCGCTTTTGTAATTTCATTGTTTCATATTTTGCTTAAAACGATTTACTAAAAACTAAACACATCTCGTTAGTATATATATATATATAATTGATTTTATGATGATTTTTGTTGGCCCGGCTACGGCTCCAACTACGGACACGGAAACGGCAGCGACTACGGTTACGACTTTGATTACGACGGCTGTTGGCTGCTAGATGCTGATGCTGGTGCTTCTCCTGTTTGTCCGTCTGTTCGTTTTTATTTATTCTTATCTGCTCGCAAATCCGTACGCTGCATTTATTCAGTTAATGTTGACCACCTCCTGGTTGTCTACGACAACGGCGCCGCCACCTCCGCCGCCGCCTCCAACTCCACCACCAGCTCCGCCTGCTCCACCATCAATGGCCATGTTCAACTGTTGGGTAACATTCGATTTGGCCAAGCAGGAGCGGGCGACTGATTCAAAGAGTCTGCAATTGTATAAAGAATATTTGTAAATACAAATAATTAATCAAAAATTTGGCTTACTTCAAATTTAAATAAAAAAAAAAAACTTACACTAATATATACTGATATATTTTTAATATAATATTTTGATTGGCAAACGTTACAAATTAATAATAGATAAAATGTTTACGAATGTTTCGGGTTGAAATTTTTGATTTCTTTTTGCTTTATACATGGGATACATGAAAGGGGCGGATTTGCGAACGTTTGGAAGTGTGTATGTTTTTATGTGTGTGTGTGTGTATAATGGAGGCATATACAATTACACTTGAGATAATCAGTTTTGGCTCTTAATAAACTTAACAACTCTCTTGCTCTATATTATTATGCTGCACACTGAATGCTGTTCAAAGCCTCAAATCGATTAAATACAATCAGACATTCACCAAAATATCTGAAAGCAAAACGAACGATAAAAACCATAAATAATCACGCAACTGGTGTAACCAATTGTGCGTGAACAATATACATACAACATACATATAATTTAATAAATAATACTACCGATCGACCGAATGGTCTTTTAACTAAATCGCTTACTTTGTTATCTCGGGTGCACAGTGCACGAAATCGTGATCCCAGAACTTATAGATCGGATTCTTGATCAGCTCAATGAATGTGATCAATAGGCCCCATGGATGTGGACGATTTACAATCAGACGTTCGAGTAGAACACGCGTTATCTGCTCCTGTATGGCCTCCGAATTGGCCTCGGCAAACAAATGCAAAACGGCACAGCTGAAATAGTGTGTGTGGCTATTCGGATAGCGCAATTGATTGGCGATCGCATTGAGGAACAGATAACGACCCTCTGTATCTAGATCGACAGCCAGGTTCTGGAAGATGTCCATGTGAGCGCTGTGCGCTATGTTTGAGGTGCTCGGTACGCAGTTCTTGTTTCTGTTGGAATAAATTCAGGGAATAATTAATGAATATATAGTCCATTATATTGTTCATAGTTGCTCTTACCTGATCAGTGCAATGGCCTGGGTGCCAACATACATGACCAACGCATTCATCAGGGCCATATTGTAACGTGTGCCCGGCTCTGTGGTTACCTGCAAATGGCCGCGTAGCTCTGATAGGAAAGTGACAGGGGCGCGTGCCTTTAAATACGAATCGAGATCGTTGCGGAAATTGGCTGGCTGTATATTGTTGATATAGCTCTTGCACACTTTCGGTGCATTGCTGCTGTCCGAGAGCATGTCGACTTTCAGATTGGGCGTAAACGGATCCGGCAGACGCATATTGCGCGGAAATGCGGACAATATAATGTTACGCATCTGAACACAATTCGGGGGAATTGTGTCACAGAAACCAAAGTGATAATCGCAGAGGAATTCTGGGAAATCGTGCAACAGCACGAGCAGGACACGCAGGGTGCCCTTGTAGAGCAACTGAACGGGCTTGCCCAGCTCGGTGTTGCGCAAGAATGGTGCGAGATATTTGAAGAGATCCTGCAATAGCTGTGAATATAATGGCCAGCCCTTTTGGCCAGGTATCTGGACCAGGATGCGGCCAAGGAAGACGCGATGTGAGATTAACTCCAGCCAGGCAAAACAGAAGCCGGGCGCCACGCTTGGATTGAGCAGATGATATGTGTAGGCAAAGGCCGACACAATGCTGTGCATCAGCGATTCCAGTGTGCTGTCCGCAGAGCACAGCTCCATGAACAGCATCATGAAGAAGCGGTGATAGCCCACTTGCTGGAAGCCAACGCCGCGCATCTCATGATCCTTGATCAAAGTGCCCAGCACAATGCCCAGCACCTTATTGAGCAAATTGATCTTTGTCGTCGGATTGCCAGCCTCGCCCGAATGCCTAACCAGCATCGCGATCAAATGTACAAAGGCATCGATCCATTGGAATATCTTGTTCTTCGCCTGATTGATGGGCAAATTCGGATCCCCGAACATGCGGTAGACAACGTCGGTGCAGATCTGTGTTGCCTGACGGAAGAAGCGCGTAATCAAATCGTCTGTCTTTAGGATGCCATAGCTGTTCATCTTCTGCACGAAGGCGCTGAAGTTGCGCGCATCTCGTGTTGTCTGCTGATTCTGTTGAGTGTAGAGAGCGACCCAATCTTTGAGCAGGAATTCGGTCTTCTCCTGCAGGCCAGGCGGATCATCCATCTCAGATGACTAAAACAAAACAAATACCTATTATATACAATTCTTTAACATCTTTGTTTATATGCGCAACTTACCCGGACATGGTGCATGCCAGAGTGAATGTAATGCGATGCGCCGGTCGGATAACGTTCGCCCGGATTGAACGAGCCATAATCACTTGTGTTCAGATTGCCCGACCATAATGTCTCAATGGCATTTGCGATGCATTCGGGATAGCGATGACGCTGTTGTGACAGACGTCCGAGCACCTCAACCGTGGCCATGAACTCATTGTCGGAGACAACGTTTATAACACGATCCTCCATGATGAGACGTTCGAGCAGTGCAATGGCAAACGAGATGGCCATATAGTTGTTGCCATTGTCGATACAGTCGCGCAGCATGCCATCGAACTGATTCAGATTCACAAAATGTGAGGTGATGAGCGCGCGGGCAGCTTCCACATTGTAGCGCACCTCTTCACGGATATCAAAGAAGCATTTGGTCACCGCACGCTCCGTATTGGGTGCGCCAAAGCTGTTGTGCAGCAAGCTTAGAATGCGCAAGTGAATGTCACGATAGAGTTTCATTTGTTCCATGTGATCCTGGACGTTAATCAGACCTTCGGTCAGACCCTCCACGGCACGTGTCAGCAGATTGAAAGCCGACTCCTGATCACGCAAGCGTCGCGTGGCCATCAGAGCATTGAGCAGGACGTGCATCTTGCTCGCCTGCAGCTGGAGCGTCGGCACATTGATGGCCGTATTCATGAATGCCTCCATTTTGCTGGCTACCTCGGCATAGACCATGCTGCTCTCATCGTTGGCAAACACATTCGGTGGCTGCAGATCCTGTGGCTTGGGCACGAACAGAGCAATATCGCGATCGCTCATCTGCTGGAAGCCAGGAATACTGCGCGCGAACTCTGAATAGACGGCGTACAGTGTCGGTGGGGCTGGACCCACCTTAAGGCGCACTGGCTCCGGCAAACGCTCCTGCTGATAGCTCAAGATTTGCGCATCGACAAATCGGCTGCCCTCCTCGCGTGCTATCTTCCTCGTCTCAAAGTCGGTCGACAGTCGTCGATCGATCTCGAGCGCCGACTTCTCAGCCGATGTCTTTTGTATAAATGCACAGACCAATTCGACATTCTCGTTGGCCAGCTGCATCGATGCAGCCTGTATGTCGGACATGCTCGGCACACCCGTCAACGCGGCCATGAACGCTTTGTGCAGATTCTGGCTAATCGCCCGTGCGATCTCGTCCTTGCCAGTAATCATGGCCATACCGGCGGCCAGATTGCGCACCATCTGATGGGCGGCAGTGCGCATGCGGTTCTCATCGGCATCCAGAGCGAAATCCTTACGTATAATCTGTTCAGTTGTGGCGCATGCAATGCGTATGCTACGATCCACCACAGGCTGCAGCCAATCGGTAATTGTGCGCTCGATGGCATTGACAACGATGTGCTTGATGCCTGGATTGGCGTGCAGGAATGGAATATTGTTGGGCATCACCAGCTGCTGGCCAATCAATTGGAAATTGTTGACATTCACCTCCAGATAGGAGAAACGTGGCTCCGGTGGTGGCAAGACCACCTGGCTGGGATCTGTTGGCAAGTTGGGCGACGACACCGAGCCAGATGCATTCGCATTGGACATCATCATGGCCTGTGCATCGACCTCAGCTGAAGGCGGTGGCTGCGGTGGTTGTTGCTGCTGCTGTGGATGTTGCTGCTGTTGTTGTTGCTGTTGCTGCTGTTGTTGCTGCTGCTGCTGTTGTTGCTGAGGTGGTGCCTCAATAACCTTTGGCTTGGGCTGCGACATTTGCTGTTCGATTAACAGCGGACGCGTTGGATCCTTCAGGTAGATAACAGGTTTGAGCTTCTCCAGTTCCAAGTTCAGTGTTTTGCACAGAACTTCAATTTCGAACTTGAGATTAAGCTTGAGATCCGGTTCCTGATGCAATTCACCCAATACATACATAATGCCCATTGTCCAGGGATTGGGAGATTTGAATATGCGCGATTTGGCAGATGATTCCAAGATCTTTGCCACGAATGGCACCACAAACAACAGCTCTTGCTGACCCTTGTGATAGGCCTCGGCCAGCAGGGACTTCAAATCCAAATCCATTTGTAATATGGGACGATTGCGACCGAGTGTCATCATGCCCAGCCAATGGCCGAGATTTTTGAGCAGACTGCGATCAGAGAAATTGATCACACCCTTATCAGAGCGTAGCAACACCTTGATGTTACGCAACGTCTCCTTGGTCACATAGCGATTAATCTCAGCATTCTTCAATGCATCCAAAAAGTTGTAGTACAGCGTGTGAAAGTTGAACTCCATTGAGGCACGTTTGAGCACCAAATATTGTGCTAACCATGGCCAATACTCTTTGGTCATGATCTCTTTGATCTCCTCGCACTTTTGCGGTATATTCAGCTGGCTGAGATTGTTGAAAATGAAGGCTGTCTTGTCCTGTATGGGCTCTGGCGGCACAGTAATCTTCTCCTCCTGATTGGCTACGAGCAAAGTATCGATATTTGTGGCGTTCGCAATGGATTTCATGCGCGCGGCGTGCGACAGAACCACAGGCGGCTTTTGTACATTCGGAGCAGTGGGCATGTTGCCTGGAAAGGAATCGGAAATATAGTTAGAAACGAATTATGGATCTATTGATATTAGTGATTCTATACCTGGCATTGAATTGGCACGATATAGCGGTTCAGTTGCTCCTTGTGCTATAGCCGACGAGGGTATTGTATTGCTCAGACCAATCAATTTCTGGGGCGGCGGCTCCTGGCCATGCATGCCGAATTCGACATATTGTATCAAGTGTTGTGGAAAGTCGTTGAAATGCGGTATGGAGCGAATGTGCTCACAGTATTTGTTGTAGGTGTGAAGGCGCGTCTTGAAGCGATCAAGCGCCGTTACACCAAAGTAGTAGAGCTTCGATCCTTCCGGTTTGCGCAATGCATCCAGAACGCATCGGAGCGATAGACCAAGCGCCACGAATGTGGGCACCAAATTGCGATCAATGATGCCGCCGAAGAGTTGAGCGGTTATCTGCAGTTCCTTCTCGGGATAATGGGAGAAGAAGCGATATTCCTCGAATAGATTGCGCAGCATGCAAAGGAAGACCTCTTGCTCGCGTCTATGACTGGACTCCTTGAAGCGTTGCAGTATGTCGAGAACTTCGTCAATCGAAAGCGTCGGATTTGGCTGATGATTGTAGATGCGCTGAAAGTACGAGTTGGCCTCGTCTTCCACCTCCTTGGAAACGGGCATCTGCAAATCGGCCATGACTGGATTATTGGGATTTGGTGGCGTCGGCGCTGGCTGCGGTCCCGCTGGCAGCATACGTCCCAGATTCCCAACATTTGGTGGCGGTTGCGCCGTGATTTGTATGGGTATCGGCGGATAGGGGTTGGCGCCGGCCGTCATGAGACGCGATGGAGATGCTGGAGTAGTAGAAACCAAGTTGTCTGTAGCCATTCATAAAGATACGTGTTCGAATAAATGTGAAAATTCAAAATACAAAGAGATATATAGCTGTCGTCTGCTCTACCAAATTAACTCGATTCTCACAATTTTTATACTTACTCAGCATATTGCCGAAGTTGAAGGCGGCGTTGGGACCGCCCAGATTGAGACCAGCCAGATTGTTGGACATGTTTGTCAAAGGATCCATTCCGCCCGGGCCAAACATTTGCTGGGCATTCAGATTGCCTGAGAAGGGCTGCTGCTGTTGTTGTTGCTGCGGTGGCGGTGGCACTGAGCCAGGCACGATGCCTCCTCCTGGCAGATCCATGCCACGATGTCCACGCAGAATACTTGGCGGAGGCGGCACCAGACTGGGTGGCACCTGTTGTTGTTGCTGCTGTGCGGCACGAGCCTTGTTTGCCAGGATGGCCACATTGCCAGCCATTTGCATAATCATCTCAGCTGTCTCCGGCTGCATGCAGGTATTGATGCACGCTTGGAGACAATTGATCATGGTGGTCACCGTTTCGGGCAGCAATTGCGCCTGCTTGGGCGGCAGTTGATCTTCGGGCAGCTTGGAGTTCGTTACTTGCGGGCAACGGCGTTGCAGCACCTTGATCATTGCCTGCATAAAGGGCTCACCATGATCGCGTATCTTATCGCTCAGCCACTTCTCGAGCTTCAAGTACTCGCGCCTCGATGCCAGACATGCCAAGTCGATGATAAACAGAAACGAGCGTGCATTGAGCAGCGAGGACAGTGCCTTTAGGTCCTGGGCCAAATCGAGAATACGCGAGAGCTTCACCTGATCGAATTCGCCGCCACGCAAATACCATTCTGACATGGCGTTCATGATACTTGGCCGCAGCTGAAAGTTGGTGGAACTCCAGGCGCTGGCCAAGATAACATTCGAATTAGGATGATTGCCCAGAAATGTGGGTATTAGCTGATTGAATAGATCCTGTCGCAATGGTGTCAAAGGTGGATTTATGTGCAGCAATGCCAAGAATAGCACGTCTGGACAATTCTGCGCCGGGAACTTGAAGAGTTCGTGCACCTGACTGTAGTAGCCCTTGTCCGCAATCGACAGCAACACCTCAACCAAGTGCAGGGACTTCCATGCAGCTATCTCCTTTTTCTCGGCATCGGGTGGCGTCTTTAGCACATCCAATGCTGGCTGACTGATTACGTAATCGGCAAATGAGAATAGATCTGGATTCTGCAGCATTGTCGTTATCAACGACAACTGACCCTCTGTGTTAGACCAGTGACGATAAATGCATTCCGGTTGCGGAAAGAGCTTCGATTGCGTTGACAATCTCAAAATGGTCAACAGCAAATCCAATCCGATGCGATCCTTTAGCACAAACTCTGGATGGTCGAGCTCTGTAAGGATATAAATTGAAAATTTTGATATTTTTTTATGTATTTAATGTTATGTTTCTATTATCACTTTGTCTACAATTTGTGTCGATAATTTTTGAAATCTTTTGATGGTTCGGTTAAAAAAAAAAGCCACACATGACAACAACAAAAATAAATAAATAAAAAAATAATGAAAATAGAACTTTGTTAAGCTAAAATAACAAAATGTTTCTAAACTGTGACAGAAAATAAAGAACAGAGAATATACCCTGTACAAATGTAGCTAAAGTATCTCCCAATTTACTATACTATAGTATGAAGGATTAACTGAAATAGCACCTACCCATGCACACTTCTTTCCAGTTGAGCTGTGGCGCCAACTCTTTGAGCGCTTGTACAAACACCTCTGGCTTCCATGTCTGTGTTGCATCTGTTGTCTCCTTCTTATCTTTTTTCTCACTGGCCGCGCTGCTCGATTCGCTGCTGCCATCGTTGTTGTTGTTGCTATTGGTAGAATTTTGCTGTTGTCCTGATTGTGAAGCATTGGAGCTGTTGCTGCCTGCGCCCTGCTGTTGGCCTGGCCAGAAATTTGCTGGCGTTGGCAAATTTACATTGCAATCAAGCAGCGACAAGTGTCGCCTGCACATGAGGCCAACAATTTTGGCAACATCTTTGGGCTGCAGTTCGCGTGATCCACAGCCGCAACACAAATGATTTCTGCAATCTTCAACGCTCGATGTAAAGTCATAACCGATTTCAAGGATTAAATTAATCCAAGATGTGTCCATAATATTATTTTTGCCCTGCAATGAGATGAACGAAGTTAATTATTAATGGGGAAGTCCAGACGAGGGGATTTACTAGAGAGAGTGAGATTTGTACCTGATTTGTATATATTATCTCGGATAAATGGTCATAGATATCCTCAATGCCAACTTCATTCAGATTATCTGCATTTGAGCTGCTCCAGCTGCTGGTGTTCGTCGTGTTCGTGTTCGTCGTTTCCTCCTCTGCATCAGTTTCGTCGTCGTCGTTCGATTTGGCGGCCGTCGTCGTCGTTGCTGTTGTCGTCGTGTTGCGATACAAAAGTGGCGCTAAGACCAATGGCACCGCCTCACGTGGAAACTCCTCGCGCAGTTTCCTCAAAAACTGTGACTCCAGCTGCGGTGTGACGTACTCCCGCAAACAGCACAACAAATATTGTAACAAATCAAATGAGATTTCGTGAAGACCACTAGCAGTAGCTGCTGAGGCTGAATTGTTACCCAAATACGAATTAATCAATTCAGGCAAAGAGCTACGCAAATTTTCTCGAGCGCTCTGCCTTAGCTCTGGATGTGAGCTGTGGGTAACCGCTAATGCAAAAATGCACTCACAAAGCTTGTTAATGCCAGTTAGTTTGGCAACTTGTCCAACCAGCTCGGAGAGTGCAAATGGTTTCTGACTCTGTTATTGAGAGAAAGGAAGATAAGCACTCGATTAGCAGCTGCTTCTTGGAAGTGTAATTATAGTTTATGGTTTTTCTCTTTACGCACCTTTTGTTTGGCAAAATGTTGATCGAAGGCAAAGCATATATTTGTGACAAACGAAGAGCACTGCAGTTGCCGCTGCAAATGGGCGCCCAAGAGCTTCGCCTGCAGCTGTGCGGTGACGTTCGGCGACGGATCGTTCAAGTTAAGTACCGTGAACAGATATCGCAGACAGCTACGATCCGCTTCGAGGGCGTAATCTTGGATAAACTGCAAGCGAAACGTTGACGAGAGCATAGAAAGAAAAACAGAAAAGAGATTGAGGGAGATTAATATGGTGTCTTAGCCCCGGTTTACCTGAGCATGTTGCCGTGCCCGGGCAGCAGAAGTTAGAGATCGATAACACATGAGCAATTCATCAAAAGCGGTCACACAATTAACTGAATAATAATTGATGCAACTATTTATAATTATCTTCTTTTTCTTCGATTTTCATTGCACACTTTGAAATTTTGACAAGTCACAAAGAGAAATGTGAAGCGTAGCTAGCTCCACAACGATCATCAAATATAAAAAAACACACAAACTCAAATGTGAAACTAAATTGAGTGTACGCAGAAGCGAGACAACAGCTGTAGCCGCGCAGCTGCTCCACAAAAAAAAAAAAAAAAAAAAAAAAAATAATAATGCAAAGCGAAAAATGACATACAAAGTACTCTACTCAACGCAACTTTTAGGCCTACACACATACACACACATCCATCGCAGAAGGGTGAGCAGGAAGGCAAGAGGGATTTTTGGTTTGTATGTTGGTGTTGGTAGCCAAACGATTTTTTTTTTATATGTATGCATATACGCGTTTAAAAAGAAAGTAATATTAAGCAAATGTCTTACCCAAATGTAGTCTTATTGATGATTTTCGGACACAATATTCAAGTAATTTTAGAGAGTAAATGTTCGTACACTGAATTTCAAGGGCTGGCGCTAGCGCAGCTGGCAGAAAACTTTGTACGCTCTCTTATATAGTTTTTTGTGCACAATTTCACTGGAGTTGATACACTAAGTTGCACGAATCGATGTCGTGCACCGTTACAAGTTAGTAATAATGTTAGTTTTACACATTTCAAACAACTTGCATCTTGAGCCAAGCAAAGTAATTTTTTTTACAAGAATATCGCGCAGAGAAATTTTCTGCCTTTACAGAAACTGTAATGGCGTCGGCGAAAATGCATGTGCGAGCGAAATGGCAATATAGCCGTTGTGCGATTAAGTTGGCAGCTCTGCCTGTGTTTGACTCACAGCCGATATGTGCAAAATTTGCCAACACTTATTGTATTTTTTATTGCTATTGCAATTGCCAGTTGTTGTTGTTATTGTTTCAATTATTTGGTTATGTATTTTAAAAACAAGGTTAAATGTGAAACGTACCTGCTTTATTTGTTCGTTGGTCTCATTAAAATTTCGTTTATTCACGTGTTTGACCAAATTACGAATCTGCTTTAGAGGCGTCAATTGGTTCTCTACGTTCATAATTCTACGTATCAAATTTGTTGGTTCAGTGTGCGGTGAGCTTTTCCTTTCTTTTTCGATTTTATTATTTTCTTACAGTCGGTCGTTGTTTTTGTTTGTGCTCTGCTCTGCGTTCCGCTGTGGCTTGGACGACTGTGCCTTGTGGTGGGTGGTGTTGGTGTTGATAACGCCGAAAATATTGTCGGAAATACTATTTTTTTTATACGTATAATACGTATTTACCAATACTCTGAAACCGTCTTCGTATTGGTGCTTGACGTATTTGTTGCTTCTTCTTTAAACGTAAACGTAAACGGCGCAGCGTTTCTTTTTTGTCGTTTCAATATTGCGGCGCAAATATCAATATATATTATATATATATTTAGTATATTTGCTCCTTTATAAATGTGTTTTTTGTCTTCTAGTTTTTGCTATTTCATGACATTTGGCTGAGGCCCCCCTTCGTAGGGGCCAGCAGCAGCTCTACATTTTTTCGGGACTATTTTGACAATTGAAACAACAATGAAATTGCACAAGTCATTGGGCTAACTGTTGCTTATATTTGGCTAACTGAAAAGACTGTCCAAAATTTTGCCAGCACACACGTAATTGGAAATGAATGAATCGCACGTACACACCGACACTTACACACTGACAAACGTACGTGATACGCACGCACACAAAGGCAATGGCACCAAAAAATTAACTTGAATTTTATAAGTACGGTTAATGTACTGTTTATATTCGTTAAAAAAATACTACAAGTTTCCTTTATAGTGGGCGAAGTTTTGTTAATGAGATTACTGTTGATATTGAAATTACATTTAATTAGGATTAATTTAATCGCTATTCGATCGCTTTAATTTTTTGTTCGTGTCTGTTCCACAACTTTAGTGATGTACAGGAAACATCGCGCACTGTTGCTATCGATATGACCACATGTACGATGTATAGCAGTGCTGCACAGCGTTTAACATATGCAAACAGCTGTTGCATGCTGCTAATTAAATATCAATTAACTAAGCTAATTAAATGTGAAGCTTGAGTTTTTAAGACAAAGAGCTTAGGATTTAGCCAGATTAAGTCATTAAATCAAGTTAGAGTGGGTGTATTCAAAGAAAAAGGGAAAGTCAATTATTCATCATGCAGTCTGCACGTGTATGGGGGTGGTGTATTGAGTTGCGTGTGTACATAACAACGATTGGAAGCACATTTAACAGTTATAACGAGGACAATTACAGTTAAATGTGTGCAGCGCGTAGAAAAATTGTGAATGCATTTCTCAAACAAAATGTGTGCAGCAGGTTGAATGTACCACAGTCACGGTATTTGAGCAGTAGCAGCAGCCACGATGTGGGCACAGGAGCAGCAGCAACAGCAGCAGCCGTTACGTCGAACGCTCTAATTAATCCACGAAAAACTGTGAGTGATTTCCAAGAGCTCTACGAAGCAACCAAAAAGAAATTTCAATGTAAGCCTTATAATTATTAGGCACTCTTATACACAGTCTATCTATTATATTATGTATAAGTGTTCGTGTATCGGTTTAATACATTTTATATATATTTTAGCTAAAAAATTGCCCGTGGATGTGCATCCAGATGCAGTTTTTGCATGCAACGAATTGGATCTCAGTGAGGTGCAGGTCTATGGCTTCGACTATGATTACACTTTGGCTTGCTATAAGCCGTTGCTGGAGGATTTATTGTACAATCTGGCTCGGGAAATGTTGGTTAAGCGTTTTCGCTATCCGGAGGATATTTTGGATCTGGAATATGAGCCCAATTTCGCTGTACGAGGCTTGCACTATGATGTGGAGAAGGGGCTATTGGTCAAATTGGATTCATTCTTGCAACTGCAATTGGGCTCAGTCTATCGTGGACGCACCAAAGTCGAAGCTGACGAAGTGCTCAAACTCTATCACAATCGATTGCTGCCCATTGCCTATGTGGAAGGACCCAATAATAGCTATAGAGTAATTATCTGAAAATAATCAATATTTTATTTGATATATCTTATCTATATGTATTTCGATTTTAGCACAATACCAACTCAAAAATGGTGCAATTGGCGGATCTGTTTTCAGTGCCCGAAATGTGTTTGCTCTGCAATGTTATTGAATATTTTGAAAGGAATCGAATAGATTATAATCCAGAGATCGTATTCCACGACACAAGAACAGCCATGGGCTCCTGCCACCCCATAATGCATGCCACGGTCATGAAGGACACGCAAAAATATATCGAACGCAATGCAAAGCTGCCCAAATATTTTGAGAAACTTCAGCAGGCGGGCAAGAATCTTTTCCTGGTTACGAATAGTCCATTTTCGTTTGTGTAAGCCAAGTTTGAACTAGCTGCAAATAGCTGATTTAATACCATTCTCTAATCATCTCCTATAGGAACTGTGGCATGTCTTATCTGGTGGGCGAAAATTGGAGAGATTTCTTCGATGTGGTCATCGTTCAGGCACGCAAGCCCAAGTTCTTTACAGACGAATCTCGGCCAATAAGGTTGTACGATGAGAAAACCCGATCGCATCTATGGGATCGAGTATTCAAGCTGGAAAAGGGAAAAATCTATTATGAGGTATACATATAGATAGGAAATTAACTGAAGAGCTCAAATAGCTTAAGCTAACAGCAGCTGTGTGCAATTCGCCTGAAATTTATTTGCATAGTAAATGCTAAAGCTGTGCAAATACCTATTAAAATGTAAACTTGCTCAACAAGTTTCAAGTCCCAACTAGAAACTAGAACTGGAAATTCAACAGGTGTCTTTACGCTTGTCACATCTGTTTTTATTCTAAAGAGAAACCTAAGCTCACCTGTTGATATTAATGCGGATTGTAATACATATATTAAGTAAGAGCTCGTAAGCATGAATTCCTACTAATTTTCACTGTACTTACTATATCAACTCCACAGGGCTCTGTACGGCAGTTGCAGGAGCTGAAGGGCTGGCGCGGTCATTCTGTGCTCTATTTTGGGGATCATCCGTATAGCGATCTAGCTGATGTTACTTTGAAGCACAGCTGGCGCACAGGTGCAATAATTAGCGAGCTAAACGTGAGTGTTACCTGTATATAATTGAAATATATCTGTATGTCTTACCTAAACTCCTTTTGCAGCATGAGATTAAGACACTGAATCGTGTGGATTTCAAGATGAGCGCCAATTGGCTGCAAATGCTGACGCAGCTGATTGAGGATACGCAGGATGATGACAGCGCGGCGGCCCAGGAATGTCTGAAAAATTGGATGATTGAACGGGATCAGTTGCGGTTTGTTTATATTACAAGATATATAATATAAGATATTTATATGTATATATTGTAATATTACTGTACTCACACGTTATCCAATTTCGTTTCTCTCTTGCAGGAATAAAACGAAAAATGTCTTCAACGAACAATTCGGCAGCGTATTCCGTACGTATCACAATCCGACGTATTTTTCACGACGCCTATTTCGCTTTGCGGACATTTATACGAGCGACATTACGAACTTGCTCAAGTTTTCGACATCGCACACATTTTACCCACGCCGCGGCGTCATGCCTCATGAATATGCCTCACATTTTATATAAAACACGGAAAAACACACAGGGTGTCATCACTCTCCCCTTGTCTCGATTTCTCTCTTAAAAAAAGTGTAGCTTAAGCTAGAAAATGAAACAAAAGTGCCAGCGTATGTTTGTTATTGTTGTTGTTCTTAGAGAATTTATTACTGTTGTTAAGCGTTAGCATTAGCATTAGCATTACCATTAGCTGCACTGCGCTGCTCAATAAAATCGTTGTAATAGTTGACAAAAATCCTCTTCGTATCCGTTGGTAAATAATTGATGGCAGTGCGCACAGCCCTGAGCTGCTCGCTGCTGCATTTGTATTTGCCAAAGGCTGCTAAGTCCATTAGGTAGGTTAAATGGCTAATGTAGGTCATGGAGTCAGCGCCATGCTGTGCGGCTACGCCCGCCAGCAGGTGATCCAAAATGCGTGACAATTGCTTGTAGTCGATGTCATCGAAGGTGGCGCCATCTATGGACGAGTAGAGACGAGATTAGAGATGGCATATTACAGTCAGAGTCAGTATAATATAATATTGTAGAAAAGAATTATGGGATTGTCTGGAGCTAGCAAATCTATATGACAGGCAAGGGGACAAGTGAAGGGGCCTTGTAAAGAATTTCTCTCTCCTTTTCTCTGTCTTCATTTATGTGCGTTTCCTCACTCACTAGCTTTGGCTGTTAGACAGGCCGCAATCAGCTGCTGGGCCAAGTGCAGTTTTAAGCTATGATAATCCAGCAGCCAAGTGTCGAGTTCTTCAAATGCTTTATACGCCTTGCGACGCTGTTGTTGTTCAGAACAAAACTCGAGAGTGTTCCGCAATATACCATACCAGTTGAACAACTGTGTCGCCTGGCACTTGGAGCACTTAATAGCCAAGTTAGACTCGGACTCCCACCATTTGAATTCCTCCTGCTTGGAAGGTACAAAGATGTGGGCACAGAACTCGCAGCGATAGCGATTGAAGGACAACTAGTGTAGAGTATATATATTAGTAAAGCTATCCAACTAGATCAAAATACATTTACTCACAAAAATCTCATCAGGTTTGCTGCCGGTACAATTGATGCATTTGCAACGGAATTTAAAAGTCTGCTGCAGTTGGGCCTGGCGCATGGCGCAACTGGAATTTCTATAGTCCAAGGTATAGCAATTGAAGATCTCCTCATCCGCCTCAATTTGTTTGGCTGCCAGGCAGCTGACCGCGCGACCATCGCAGTGGAGACGAATTGAAGGGGCACAAGCATGATTGCAGAGAGCCAAATATGGTAAATTGAGCGCCGTTGTCAGAGCAACGCTATCAAATTTATGCATCTGGCCTAAATGTAAACGGAAAGGTGCCCGCCAGAGCTTCGATTCCATCATGTGACACTGGGAGCGTAGTAAAATGGTGTCGCCAACATGGCCATTGCAGAGCAGCTGGCCGGCACAGCGTAGAATTAAGGCAGCTATCAATAAGTCCCAATCCTCGCGAGCATCGACTCCTAACTGCTCATAGAAATTGGTGCATTTGTGTAGATAAACTTGCAAGAGATTAGCGCAGAGCGCGTAGTATATGAGCTCCTCGGAAGCTGCTTTATCCAGATGGCTCATCATGCATAAGCTTAGCAAACCCTGCGAAGCACTTGACCAATCATAACATTTCCTAGCCTTGTCCATTAGCATTTTCCATTTCTCTTGAACACTTGAGCCTCTGACCAGCTCAGTCTGCCATTCTTGCACGTAGCACAGCACCATTCGGAGAGCTAAGTGCGAGACGCCCAACAGGGTAAACAGATTTTTTTTATAGCCAGCACATTCGTAGCTGTGGATCTGCTCGTTTAGTTGGCGACAGCGACGCGAGCAGTAGACCACTCGCTGATGGCATTGGGAACAGGGTATGGGCGCATAAAGCACGCTTGCAGCGCACTGCTGGCAGATCAAACCCGGCTCGAGAGGCACAAAACACGCCGTTTGCTCCTTGAATATGATGTCACCTGATTGGATGGACTGCGTGGCCACCATGTGGCGTCCCTTTATGCCGGAATGGGCCGATCTATAATATATCTATATCAATCTATTGAAATTGAATATATATATTATTTACTCACATCTTGTGGTTCTTTCCTAGGATCAGCAACGACGGAACCTGCTCACTCGCCAGCTCCTCTTTCGGCTCAGAGCTCTGCTGTTCTTGTAGCTTTGTCAGCTGCTGCTGCAACTGTTCCAATTGGTTTACATAGCCTGCATTTAACTGTTGTTGCTCCAACCACGATAGATGCTCGCTCAATTTATGAACATCGCCCAGCTGCCAGGCACAGTGGGCCTGTCGCATTATTAGCTTATGCTGTAGCTTCTGGGGATAGCCATACTCAAGTGCACACTCACAGTCGTCGTAGGCTTCCTTATATAAGCCGAACTCCTGCAGGGCCATGCCTCGATTCGCATAGCCCAAACAGAGCTCCTCGTGGACATTCTCTGCCTGCAGAATGGCCTGTGTATATAAGTGACAGGCAAGAAGTAAAGATTCTCTTCGATCGCTCTCATTTGTCTTGGATCTCTTTGTATACACTGCATTTCCATGCTCTCGGTTAGAACGCGAGCGTTCGGCACAGGCCTTTAAATCGTGGACATCGTCTAAAGAGTCCAGCAATTCGTGGGTTAACTCATTGAAACGTTGCTGCTTGGCTGCAGGCAGTGTGTGCAATACTTTAACAGTTTCCAGTTCATTTTTATAGCTGGCAATAAATGGAACCAACTCATTTTGCTCACCAAAAACTTTTGATAAAGTCAACATTTAGCCTTATACATATATAATTATTAATTTGCAGCCGGCTTTTAAAATTAAAATCAGGTGCTTTAATCCAGTGCTGCCCATCAACTATCGATATGTAGAAACGGCTGTGCCATAGCTGCAAATATCGATAGACACGTCAACAAAAACAGCTGTTCAGCCATCGGTAATTAAGCTATTTTCATTTTTCAGTAGAAATGAGCTGTAATTAAATATTCATTTAAAGTATTAAAGCTATTTTGAACAATGGATTTGCAACAATTGGAAGAGGAAGCGCGCCAAGCGGCGCTCAAAGATATACAAAATATGCTGCAACGTCCTGGGCAGCTGGAGAAAGTGGAACAATATCGACACCGCATAGCACGGAAAAAAGCATCCGTGGAGGCGTTGTTAAAGACGGGCATGCAAAATCAATTGGAGGGCGTGCGAGTGGGTCTCAAGCAGCTAGAGACTTGTATGCTGGATGTGCGTGAGGTGCGTCGCCGCATGGCCGAAGTGGAACGACTACTCCAAGGCGTACCGGAGATCTACGACGCCTTAGAAGTTGTTCGTGAGGAGAATACCAAGCATTCGCAATATGCAACGGCTATGGAAAACCTGAAGCACATCTTCAACGTGGATGCAAGTGTGCAGAAGACCATGGCACTCATAGACGAGGACAAACTGTTGAATGCACATCAGTGTCTGGCCGATTTGGAGAACTCGCGGGATGATCTGCTCTATGAGTTGCACAAACAGCCCAAGCAGCATGCCTCCGACAAGATCACACTCAAGCGCCACTTCGAGAAGGTGGATCAAGTGTCGCAGGCGCTGGAGAAGAAGCTGCGCCTGATCATAAGTCGCACGCTAAACACGGTCCGAAAGAAGCCGACGGTCATTGTGACTGCACTGCGAATCATCGAGCGTGAGGAGAAAAACGATCAATTCGCGCTGCAACAGCAAAAGGTCACGAATTTCCTGCCACCTGGCAGACCTAAGGCATGGCGTGCCATGATTATGGACGTCCTCCAAGCAGCTGTCATCACACGCATCGAGGGCTCCAAGCTGGAGGAGCGAGCGGACAACAAATTGTGGCTAGTGCGCGACTTGGAGATATTGCGACAAATAATTCTCGAAGATTTGCGCGTGGTTAAGTCGTTATGCGTTCCCTGCTTTCCACCTCATTACGATATATTTAATGAATATGTCAAGTTCTATCACGAAGGATTGTCCAGCTATGTGAGTCATATAATTAATATCTTTATATATACAAATTAACTTCCTTGTCTCGCAGTTGGACAATATTGTGAAATCGGGCCTGCAAGGCAATGAATATGTCTCCATGTTAGCCTGGGTTATGCACACCTATCCAGGCGCTGATCTAATGTCTCATCCCGATCTAAATGTGGATGTACTTAAGCTCTCGCGTCCGCTGCTGCATCCGGAGCACTTGAAATCATTAGAGGATGAGTACTTGCAGAATATGGAACGCAATTATCAGGATTGGATGAAAAAGACAGTGGATTCGGAAAAACAGGAATGGTACTCCGAGCAGATGCCCGATCAGCGGGATCACTACTATAACAGTGCTGGTCCAGTGATCATATTCGAGATGATCGATCAGCATTTGCAGGTGACAAACACCATTCACCAGGAGTTGACGTTTAAGGCATTGGTGCTCAGCATACAACAGGTGGAATTGTTCGGACAGACCTACCTCAAGAATGTCATCGAATTGAAGGAGCATCATTTTCGGAATCGAGATCAAATCAAATACTTTACCCATTATATCATAACCATTGTAAATAACAGTCAGAATGTGGTGGAAATGGCACAGCAAATGAAGCATCTGTTTTGGCCCAAATCCCGGACGGAACATTACGAAGATTTCGAGAAGCTGTTGGCAACGTTTCAAAGGATCCGTGCACATGCAGCCAATTATTTGCTGGAGGAGGCCTTCCTTGATATGGAATGCCATTTCAATGATCTATTCACGGTCAAGTGGCTCGGCAGCAGCATTGCTGTGGACACCATTTGTGTTACGCTCGATGATTACTTTCAGGATTATAATCACTTGCTGCCCGCCAATTTCGAGATGGTGATCAATGAGGCACAGAAGTTGCTAGCGAAGCGCTATATAAGAGCCCTCCTATCGAAGAGACTTTCGAAGTCTCGCAGCGAATGCGATGCGATTACCAGAAAAATCAATTTGGAAGCGAAGCGCATTAAGCAGTTCTTTGAGAAGATCGCACCAAAGATTTCGCTGAGCGATTCGCCCTTGGATTTGATCACCACTCTATCCGCTCTCATAGTCGCGGACATTGAGTTGCTAGCATTGGATTTACATACGCTGCTGGGCAGTTATCCTTCGTTGACTGAGGATCACTTGGTGCGCCTCTTCTACATCCGCAATGATGTAAAGGCCGCCGAGGTGCGAGAGAAGGTTCAAGATGCGATGAAGTCCAAGAAGTCCATGGTCAGCATTGCCAAGCAGGATTGCATATTCAAGGAGATCGTATTTAGCGATAAGCTGTGGTAGAAGACCCAATAGCTATAACAATATGGGTATAAATAGCATGTCAGTCATACAACTTTTAGAACCGTGCTACAAATATTTAGCTATGAGCTATGTCGTATAACTACTTTACTAAACTTCTTATACTTTTACGTATAAGCATGTCATTAATACTACTTATAATCAAACGTAGTAATTTTTGATGTTTCATATGACTTATGTACAAATCATTGTTTTTGTAAAGTATGAGAAATTTACACGTAGCAAGCGTATTTATAATGATGTATAATTTATGCGTAGCAAATTCACTATTAACTCAAAAGACTCATTTCCTCATAATATGATAAGCTTGCTACGTATGCTTTATAATAGTCTTATACATTTTTTATAAAACTAGCCCCGTCTCGCTCCCCCGTCAACACCATAGAGCAACAGCGCTCATTCATCATTCCATGCCAAAACGCCGGTCAGCTGGTTATTCGCCTTGGCGCGCTTTTGCTAGATGAGCTTTCATACCGATGAAAGCTCTCCCTCTCAGTGTCTCTCGCAGCATGAGCAGAGCATGCACAGTGGCGTAACAGTGAAAGTTTGTCTAGCGAAACTTTGGCTAGGCAGTGTGGGCTGCCCGGTTGGAGCTGTGTGCGTACGCCACTGGCGCAGCATAAGCATTGTGGAGCAGCACGTTTCCATATGATTCTCAGTTTTGTTTGTGCGCTTGACTCTGCATCAGAGCGCAGAGCCCACGAAATAATTTTTAACATTAATGTGCAGTGAATTTTATAACTATATACACACATATACAATAATCTAAATGCTGGATTTATAAAATATAGCTAATATAATATAAAATATTAATAAAGAAGCGACAAAAAAATTACAAATATTTGGTGAGTGAGACACGCGACACCAAGTGAAGCTTTTTATGTGACTACATACATACATACATATTTATATCTATGTTTGCATGATTGTGTTAGCAAAAGTGTGCAGTTTTTGTGTTTTGGCTATAATTTTATGCATTGCTCTTGAACCTTGAAAAGTTTTTTTGGTCATTTTGTCAAATCTATACTACATACATACATATAAAATCAATGCTGCGCTCTCTGTCTAACAGCAGTCGTCAAAGCAGCGCGTGCTCCTCTGCCTTTGTGTGTGTGTGAAGGCATTGTATAAGCGGCTATTGGTATTGGTGCTGTGAGGGGGTTGGTAACTAGAAAACTGGCTGCATGGTCCAGGCTGGTCAAACAAGATGCATAAGCTGAATGTGCCGTACATCTACACACACACACACGCACACATGACGATATTATGTTCTATTTATAAATGCATGTTGAACTTTATACGTATCATGCGTGTACTAGAGCGAGTTCCATGTGCTCTCCCTCTCAGTCTATGACTGTCATTAGAGCACGTTGCGCGTGGTTCGGCTTATCAGCAAACACAATTTCAAATAAATTCTTACAGCTGTTTTTAGTTGCACTATGTCATCGCGCCATCTGCAGTTTGTTTTTGTTTACTCTCTTTGTATTTTCATAGGCAACTAACACCATTGCAAAAGCAAATGCATAAGCAAATAGGCAGACGGAATTCCCATCTAACGGCGTTTGCTTGCGCACGTGTCGCACTGCAATGCATATTCGCTGCAAAACAGAAACACAAACCCAAACAGACACAAACAAAACACATGCATATACTATTACGGTATACCCGGCGTTGGCAAGTGGCAAGTGAAGGCCTTGGGTATGATGGGTTTTAGGAGAAGTTTGTAACGCAAGACAAGATTATTTTGATAATAAAAGACTTTAATTATTTTTCGTTAGTATAAAGTATTTTTAAATCAAATTGAAGGTATTATATTACATAATTATTCATATTAATAATTTTATGTTAAGTTGGCTTTTTGAAAATTGATTACAGTTCATCATTTATAATTAAAATTTTAGATCAATAGAACAAAATTAAATGGAGATTTCTAAAGCATGTCAAGAGTTGAAAGATGGATGTTTTGAATTCGAATTAGTTTAATTGAAGCTCGACTAAGGCGTTTCTTTGGGTTAGTTAAATAATGTTATGTTTTATTCTACTTAAAATGATTATTTGATTATTGATTTATAGGATTATTGTATACGACTGATTTTAAGAATATTTATGGAGTATATAGTGTGAAGTTTGGACAGACTTTGTGCTAATGTAATGTATTTAAGGAAATTTAAGATCAAAGACCTCTATTCTATGTTTATTTCATCATTCATGTTGCCTCTCTTACTACCTTCCCACCATTATCACATATTCTAGTTGAGTCTAGTTTTCCAACACTTACATTCAGTTTCTTTGCAGATCTTGATTACTTTATTCATTAACATATATATTGTAAGCTATGAGTAAATCGCATCGGGATCTAAAGATCGTTGTCATCGGCGCCGGAGCATCGGGCGTTGCCTGTGCGACGAAACTCCTGGAGTATGGCTTTCAGAATGTTCTCATCGTGGAGGCCGAGTCCCGTTTGGGCGGTCGCATACACACAATACCTTTCGGCGAGAATGTGATTGATCTTGGGGCGCAGTGGTGTCACGGAGAGCAGGATAACATAGTCTATCAGCTGGCCAGCCAGAAGGATTTACTGGAGTCCACTGGTCCGGTCTATGAGAACTATCAATGTGTGCGCAGCAATCGGGAGGTATTACCCGATAATGTGGCCAACAGGCTCAAGGCAATTGTGGGCGATTCTCTGGTCAGTCGCCAGATGGAGCTGCAGCATTGCAGCGGCTCCCTGGGCAGTTACCTGTCCAATAAGTTTTATGAAATGCTACGTCGACCCGAGAATGCCGATATAGACAAAGTTTTGGCTAACGAGTTCTTTGATAACTATCAAAAGTTCGAAAACTCCGTAGAGGCCTCTGATAATCTCGAGGAGGTGTCGGGTCGTGGCTACCTGGACTATTGGGAGTGCGAAGGCGACATATTACTCAATTGGAAGGACAAAGGATTCGTGGAGCTGCTACGCCTGCTCACACGCAGTCGAGAGCTGGAAACATCCTCGGATCTGGGCGTACTGGAACAGCGAGTATTATTCAATCGTGCCGTTAAAAAGATACTCTGGAATCGCAACGATTCTCGCGTGGAGCTGCAGTTGAGCAACGGGGAATGCTGCCTGGCTGATCATGTGATTGTGACCGTATCCCTGGGTGTGCTCAAGGAGCAACACTTGCAGATGTTTGACCCACAGCTGCCAGTGGCCAAGCAGCGTGCCATCCAAGGCTTGGCCTTTGGCACGGTTAACAAAATCTTCGTGGAGTTTCCGGAGGCATTTTGGCCCGAGGACTGGACGGGTTTCACACTGCTGTGGCGGGAGGAGGACTTGGGTGATATACGGAATACGTCACGTGCCTGGCTGGAGGATGTCTTCGGCTTCTACCGAGTTAGCTATCAGCCGCGCGTTCTGGCTGGTTGGATCATCAATGCGAGTGGCAGGCATATGGAGTCACTGGATCGAAATGAAGTGCTCGCTGGCTGTATGTATCTGTTTCGTCGCTTCCTGCATTGGCATGTACCGGAACCAGTCAGCTTTTGCACCTCCGCCTGGTATACGAACCCGAATTTCCGTGGCTCGTACTCCTTCCGTTCCATGGACACGGAACGCTTGGGCACTGGCGCCCAGGATCTAGCGCAGCCCTTGACAGTGGTTGCCATGACACCTCAGTCGCCGGCCCGCAGCCGAAGCCGAAGCCGAAGTCTACCCCAACAGAGTCGCTGTGATCGACCCATTGTCCAATTCGCTGGCGAGGCGAGCAGCTTGCATTACTATTCCACGGTCCATGGAGCTGTGGAGGCCGGCTGGAGAGAGGCTGATCGATTGGCGGATTTCTATGGCCTAAATGAAGCGACGGCCAAATCGCAGCTATAGCAATCGCTGCATATTTCATTGGACAGACTCTTCTTGGCTGACTGATGGACGATTGACTGATTGACTGATTGATGCTGAAGTCTTTTCAGGCTGTGTACTGTGGCCTAAACGAACCAACAGCCTGCTGATTGACAATGATTCATTGGCTATGTCCATGGCCAAAATGCAGATATACCATTACAAAGTGTTTCCCTATTTCATAAGTAACTGTTCAATAGCTTGAGCATAAACTGATTTAAATTTAAAAAACAATCAATCAAATTTAACTGAACAATACATCCTGAATAGACTCTAAGAAATATATACATATGTATATACATATATGCTGATGATGATATATATGTATATATAGCTGATATAAATACATAAGCATGTAAAGAGCTTTAGAAATTTGACTATGCACTATTTATCGTAAATATAAATCTATGACTAAAACTATTAATGGTAGATGTTGACTATATATTGATAGATTGATACATAAGTGTAAATGATTGATGATATAGTCTAAATATGTATGACTGATTGACTAGTTGTACTCACCAAGAAAAAAATCCAAAAATCATGATTGATTTTGTTTCTCGTAATTTTGACGTAACAGATATTTATAATATATACAAATTTCGTAAATTTTTATATGGGAAGTGTAAGTAAAACGCGTTTGGAACATAATCAGCGACAGCTTATGAAGGCAATTCGAATTGTTGCAGTGTTGGTCGAAAAAAAACGCAAAAGGTAGCCCATCTAGGAATAGTCATGTACGCGGGACTCTGAGAAAATCTGATCTTGTACAATATGATCCAAAAATTTTGATATTGGGTGGCGGTGTAGCGGGTCTTGCCTGTGCTGTGGAGTTGAAGAATAACGGCTTAAATAATGTACGCATTGTAGAGATGTCTGATCGAATTGGCGGTCGTATCAAGACCATGAAATTCGCTGACAATTACATTGATCTGGGTGCCCAGTGGGTCTATGGAAAGGATAACAATTTGGTCTATGAGATGGCAGATGTGGATGAGCTGGGAAAAACAAATGGTACGATTGCAAATATGGATTGGATACGTTCGAATGGAAAAAAGATTACGGAGGGTGTTGTGGACCAAATGTTGGATTTGATAACTACCGTCTATGATAATATGAAGGACGACAAAATTGATCCCACAATCACCTTTGGTGACTATTTATCCAAGATGTTTGACCGAGAGGTCGAAAAACAAAATATCCGCATTGATAGGTCTCTAGCCAAAGAGTTTATTGTTACTTTCAAGAAAATGGAAGGCAATATGGCGGATACGGATATGTCGGCCTTTGACTATTGGAGCTTCCAGCCATGCGGTGGCAGCGGACTTTTGAATTGGCGCGACAAGGGGTAAGGCCATATAGTCTAAAAAAATTGGGCTAAAATCGTATATGTCCGTCTGTCCTTCCTGCCACCTTTACGTTCATCCTTTGCCAGCCGGACACTCGCGACTAAAGTAGTTTTTTTGTTGGTCTTATAACCTAGCCTTTCTTACAGCTTCAAGCAGTTCTTGCATCACCTCGTCAATGGCGACGACCTAAATGAGCATGGAGTGCTCAAGGGCTGCATCGATTTGAACCGAAGGGTTCGTCAAGTCGAGTGGGATCGTCCAGATGGCTCTGTGCTGGTGAGCTGTGAGAAAGAGAAATATTCCGCGGACCATGTAGTCATCACTTTCTCGCTAGGCGTGCTCAAGCATAGCTCAACGCTCTTTCAGCCCTCTTTACCAGACTCTCACTGCAAAGCGATCAATAGCATGGGATTCGGCAACGTCTGCAAGATTTTTGTTGAGTTTCAGGAGAAATTCTGGCCAGATGACTGGCGCGGCTTTAATGCGCTGTGGAGAGCACAGGACTTGCCAGCTCAGCCCTGGCTGAAGGACATCTATGGCTTCCATGTGTATGACCATCAGCCACGCGTTCTACTTGGCTGGGCCTGTGGAGTCCATGTGGAGGCCATCGAGACCATAAAGCACTCTGCTCTAGTGGACGGCATTGTGCGCATGCTGAATCACTTCCTGCGCAACTTTAACGTGTCGCGCCCGAACAATGTAATTATCAGCAAATGGAGCACTGATCCGGCACACCGCGGCTCCTACTCCTACCCATCCGTATTAGCCACTGAGAATGACACGGGACCCAAGAGTCTCGCACAGCCAATCCATGTACAAGTCGCTGAAACGCGTGAGCCGTCTGACACGAGTATTTCCTCAACATCTGAAACCCCGCCAATAACAGCGCGACCAGTATTATTTTTTGCGGGCGAGGCAACCAGCTCCAATCATTATTCGACAGTTCACGGTGCTGTAGAGTCGGGGATACGCGAGGCTGATCGCATTATTTCCTTCTACAGGAGCTCCACCTATTAAGTTCATTCAAAAATCTAACTAAGAGATTTACTAAATAAGATAAACGAACGGGCTACTACCAAAAGGGTTTACTATACCTACAATCTAGCTGCGATTACTACCGAAATTTCAGAAAGAGTTGTTAAATTTTGAGTACAATATATATATATGTAACTTTACATGCAAAAAAGACTATTACAAAATTTTTTTAACTATATAAAGATTGTTGACTACTCCCAGAAGCTGCCTTTGCCTCTACTTCTCTCGCACGATTTGTGGCTGGAAATCTAGTGCGGCTGCCTTGCTTAAGGATTCGGCATAGAGTGGAAGCCTTTGGGTCATGCGGAAGCCCCAGAAGTCCTTGACCTGGCGACACAGATTCAGATCCACCTCCGTGACCAGCAGACCGTCCTCACAGCGGGATAAGCTCTATAGGAAAATGATGCCTCGTTAGCTCGATTGAGAGGTTTATTGCAGGAGCACACTTACGGGAGTTCTGGAGCCATCTGGTGCCGCCACATAAGTAGAGCCATAAAAGGGTCCGAATTCCTTATGCGCTGCCTTGCCATCCCCGGAGGTGTACTCGTTGGGAAACTTCTCAGTGCCCACTCGATTGATGGCCACTGTGAAGTAGCTGTTCGCTATAGCCGCATTCCTTGCCTCTATGCCCCACAGGGGCTCCGAGAGGCGTCCAATCGTAGCCGACGGATTGAACACAATTTCAGCTCCATTCAAACCGAACATCATCCAATTCTGGGGATGATGCCGGCCATAGCAAATGTTGATCGCCAGCTTGCCGAACTCTGTCTCGAAAACGGGATGCCCGGTGTTGCCCTCGAAGTAGTAGGTGGACTCATTGAAGTCACCCACACGCGGTATGTGATTCTTGCGATGTTTGCCCATGTAACGGCCACTGTTCGAGATGACAACAGCCGTATTCCAAATGGTCTCGCCGTGCTCCATGTCTCGCTCCAAGATGGAGTGTATGATGACCATGTTGTAGGCCTTGGCTAGCTCTGACATCATTTTGGTCGTCGGGCCATGTTCGGCCTCCTCGGCGAACTCGCACCAGGGAAACTTTTCGCGAGTGCAGAAGGCAAAGGGCATGGCTAGAGAAAGGGGAATTAGATTGGACTTTATTTATGGACTGATTTGGCTGCACTTACTCCACGCCTCCTGGGTGCACACAATATTGCAGCCTGCCTCGGCTGCGGCCTTGATCATGAGCTTCACTTTACTCCAAATGCCCTCGCGCTGCTTCTCGATAGGCGCCGTCGTTGGCAGAGCTATGGAGTTCTGTATGGCGCCAATGCGCACCAGGCGCGGCTTACGCAGCTCCTCGGGACGAGCCTCAAAGCTGTAGCCCTTGATCTCGAAGCCATTCTGCTCGGCGGTCTTGTAAGCGCTCTCTGGCAGCTTCAGAGTGTTGCTGAGGGCGATGAAAATGTTGTACAGAGAGGAAGTTAGATTGGAAGAGAGTTGGAGGGCAGGCAAGAGAGTTGAAAAGAGATATAGGGTGAGTTCGAATGAGCTTGACAGAGGAATAGAATGAAATGAGGAGGCGAGAGTGATTTAATAATAAATAGAGAGCGTATGGGAGAGTGCGAGAACGTTTAAATCGAAGAGTGTGTGAGTGTGGAGGAGAGTGTAGGCGAGACTGAGAGATTCGACAGGTAACCCATATGAAAGCTAAATCTTGAGAAGGACGGGATGAGAGAAATGGAAGGGGAATATATCAGAGGGAGAGGTCTGAGAATGAACGGAGAGTGATATAAGATAAAGAGAGAATGCCCTTTGACATTATCAATGTGGAAGTGAGTGTGGGAGAGGGTTGAGATATAGAGAGAGATATTGTTTTCATTTTCATTCCCACTGCTTCGTAAACAATGCGCTCAGCTTGTTATATATTTGTTTCTGTTTTGCTCATTGAATTTTTAATATACGCTAAAGAATAGAGTCTGTCATTTAGTTATCAGAAATGTCGCATATATAAAGATATACATGTATTATAATATATAATTATTATTGTATATATATACACTTTATTTGTTACCTTACTGTCTCTCTCTGTCCCTCTTTCTCTCTCTATCTCTTTAAGTGCTTTCATATTAGATATTCACTGAATTTTTCTGTTAGGGTATTCAAGCTTCATCACTGCATAGCTAATTTTTCTACATATAAAAAACCGCGTATACTTGCTATAGATATGTATGTATATGTACATATATTAAAACTAAATTTAATTTAATATGTATGTATACTTTATAGATTTTATTACCGAACCTCCCAAATCTTGAACCTGTTCTAAGACTTATCTGCGCTACGTAACTTTGTTGCCTTATCAGCTCGCTGTGTGGTCTATTATTAAGCTCTGATTAGCACATAGATATATGTACTATCCATATCAGTAGTAAAACTGACTTACATATATGTATGTATGTCCATATGTATGTATACATAGTTAGTAGTAGGCATTTCTACTCACTCTTTCTCAACTCCGTAGAGTATGCGTTTGACTTCTTTCAGCTCCTCGGCTGGCAAATGTTTTTCCAGACATTCGTCCAAATTTCTTAATTCAAATGTCGTCATAGTTTCCGGCTGTATTCGCTCTGTATGCTTATTTCGTAGTTGGGTGAATCGAAAGAACGGAGGGAGAGACGTGCTCTGCTTCTTCTTACTCTTTAAATAGACAAACGCTTGGTGCAAAGAGCAACCACTCGCGGCGAGCGTGGATCGCGGAATGATCATGGTCGATCAGCCGTTTCTAGCGAGGAGCGATAGCGGACACAAATCAAATAATTACTTGACAATTATTTTATAGTTACTCGTGATTTCAAATTAAAAACAGATAAAGAAAAGGCTTATAGATGAGCCCAAAATTGGTGACATTATCAGGGTTTTCCAAATAATGATAATATAAGAATAATGATAATATATTATTTCCAAAATATTTTTCATTCTAGAAAGCATATATTTGTATAGCACTCTAGTCTTTTAACGATTATTTAATTATATTTATTTCAATATTTGATTTTAAGATCTATTGAATATAAGTATTTGGCTATTATAAAGTAAATCTTATTGTTATATTTTACAGTCACATCTTTCATTGCAAACCACAAATATTACTAACGCTCACCTCTAGTTGGCGACCTCCACATTCCCGCCCCTGCCCTACTCTAGTGCGGCTATCTACACCTCGACTATGCTGGGGTCGCGCGCGCCGATTGACCTTATCACTATTAGCAATGACAACTAATGAGAGAATGCGTCGGAGGGAGGGAGGTAAGGTAAGCTAAATAAATTTAGATATGGGCACGACAATTTTTCCATTTTGAAAATAAGAAAAATATAGTGAAAGTATTGTAGAAATTCCAGTAAAACTATTTGGTTGGGGTATAGGCGACTTGTATATATTCTATAAACGAACTAAGATAAGCCTCATCAATATTGTTTTTTTCGACAGTTTCCGACTAAATGGCAAAGTAATCTTTATATAATCAAATTGATAATAGTTGCTTTTGCGAATTTATATCATTTATAACTTAACTTTTATTTGAGTGACATACTTACCCAGTGAGATACTTCATATCTCTAAAGATTGTATATCTGAGAAATGCGAATTGCCTGCTTATATAGAGCCAATTATATATACATCATATACATGGCTTTATGTAAGTAAGCTATCCTCTACTTATTTTTAGTTGGGTTTATCTTTATCAAGAGAATGTCTTATCAAGAGAATGTTATCATTGTTATGAACTATATTATATTGTATAATAAATCATTATAAAATATAATATAGCAAGATAAGATTTTCATTAAATTCTATTTTCTACATTTAATTCATGCACTGAAAAAAAAACGTTGAACAACTTTTTAAAATATAAATTAAAAAAATATTTAAAAAAAAATATTATAATTTTGCTCATAAATAAATTCTTGTAAATATCAGAAACAAATTCAAAATTCTTAAGAATATTTTGGAAAAAAACTCTCGCAGCTGGAATTTGTAACACATTTATAGGTTTTTCTTGTTTTATTTATAAAATTTAAACATTTTATATCTTTAATATAAGGAGTTTTGTTTCATTTTTTTTTTTTTCTTTTTTATGGACAAACATTGTTTAAGTGAAATAATTGTTGTACAACAGATGACGCATAAATTTGGTTAAATGGATTTAGTTCTTTTGTTAATTTAAATTTTAATAATTTTCCATTAAATTTCTCTTCTCTCGGTTCGGCCTCTCTTTACAATTCTCATTTGTTTTTATTGTATTCTTTTCATTGTTTTCACTTTTACGCAAAAATAGGTACATGTTGTGAAAAGGAAAGGACGCTGAAGAGTAGCGTCTAAGGGTAAATAGTATTTTTTCTCTATATATCGCTCTATATATATATATAGTATATCTCTCTCGCCTTCTCATGCTCTCTCTCTCATTCTAACTAAATGCCGTGCAACATTGGCAACTAACTTTTCATTTAGCTTAGCAGTTTTTCTTTGTTTGTTTTTGTTTTTTGTTTTGTTTTTGTTATTGGGCTAAATTCGTATGGCAAATACTTTGGTGTTTGTGGGAGTGAGTTGTTGGTTGGGGGGGCGTGGCCACGCCTACTGCACCCACATGGATGGCGCCCAGAGGGGCTCGTTCTCGAGCCTCTGCACGTGTTGGACGAGCTGCTCAAACGCATTCACCAATTCCCCATTTACGATTTCCACATCGAAAAAGTGACCATAGACAAAATCAATGCGTTCCGCCGATTTGATCATATCCTCAAATTCCTCATCCGTAAAGCTGCGCGCGTTGGCCTCATCGAACGTGGACTTGGCCCGCGCCTCCGTACGCGTCGCCTTCAAGACACTCAGCTCCGGCGGCTTGATGTGGATGAGAAACGGTTTCAGCTGGGGCGTGCGCAACGTCTTGATCGCCTGGTAGTGCGGACTCAGCACACACACACAGCCCGCATTCACAATGGACTTGACGCTCTCGGCCGAGGTGCCATAGAGGTGACCCTTGTACTCGCCGTGCTCCACAAATTTGCCCGCCTCGATGTCGGCGTCCATCTTATCGCGTGCCACGAAAATGTACTCACGTCCAGGCACCTCACCAGTTCGCATGGGTCGCGTGGTATCTGAAACGGAAAATACATATATATAGGTACATCTATTATGTATCAACTCCACTGCCAGCTACTCACATGGCACTGGACTGCGGAACTTTTCGGGATCACGGGCTATCAATCTTCTGCGCAGCTCATTGCGTCCCACGCCAGGTGCTCCGATGAGTACAACGGGCCGATAGATGCCTGGACGCGGATATAGCTTGGCCACCTCCTCATAGGTCGCAATCAATTCCCGATCGAAATCGTCGTTCTCTGTTAAATCGTACATTATCTTTTTAGTCTTGGGCTGGCGGCAGGAGGAGCTGCTGCTGCTCGTCTGCAGGCGAGGTGAGCCAGGAGGCGTGGTGCAGAGCGAGGCGCATGAACCGGCTGGATGACCAGGTGGATTGCGTATGCAGGGAATTCGATATGGAGCAATGTGGGTGGTGAGTGAGCGTGTGATTAGAATGAAACGAATGAGATTCATGCGAGGATTCGATTAGTTAAGGTCTAATTGGGTTGAATATTAGAAGTTTAGATGATGAAAGAAATATTAGAGGTATTCCTGTTATTGCGTAAAGGCTGTGAAGATCAATCAAGCTTTTTAAATTGAGGCCTGGGACTTGATTGTCTAAGCTAATTGTTATTCATGGTTAGCTTATCAACTGCAAGGAATACTTCTAATATATTTTTATGTGGTATGTAAGATTTTATTAATTTTCAGTTTATGAAATTTTGCATATGACTATGATAAATATTTTTAGAGGTTGACTTAAGAGTGAATGTAGAGAACTTCTATGGAAACAGCCTTTTCTTTTATAGAAATATGAATGAATGTTTCAATGGATTATACATATATATATATATACACTCGACTATCATGGTTATCCATACTTACGCTTCGAGTCCAGGTCATTGGCTTCGCGTTGCGTTCGCTCGTGCAGGATGCGACGTTCCTGCAGAGCACGGCTAGGGATGAGGCCGGCGCGTGCCGAGCGCTCGTGATCCTTGCGCGCCTGCCACCAATACGCATCGTCTTGGGCGACAATGTGCAGCACATCGCCACGCTGAAATGCCAGGCCAGCCTCCTTGCAGGGTATATAGGGATCCACGTCCGGGTTGTAGTCGAAATGGGCACGCACACGCACCTTGGACTCGCGCTGAGCACCTTTCGTATCGGCGGGCACCAGCTTAAAGGTAATTGTGCCCTCCGAGTTTTGCTGCAAGTTTCGGATATAGATGAGATACGTTAACGATTGCTGGAGCAGTCTGGAGACTGTTGTGGTATATATACCAGTATGGTGAGCACATCGCCTGGCGTCTTGCCCTCCACGTTGATGCCGTTCACCTCGATGACCTCGTCGCCCACGTGTATTAGGCCAGATCGATCTGCTGCGCCGCCGTGCATGATTCGAGCTATAATTATTTTGCCCGTCTCCTCATCCGTTTTTATGGTTGCGCCCTAAAAGTAGGCAATGCCATATTTATAAACTCTGCTTGAAGACGGTGAGTGTGTAGCTGTGTGTATGTGTGTGTGTGAGTGTGTGAGTGAGGCATGTAATGTGTATGTGTATGTATAGAGCACAATTTTACAGATTTTCTTTACAAGTCCAATATAAAATGGAAAATAAAGGAAAGCATAAAATATAAAAAATAAAACAAAATATATAAAATTAAAAAAAAAATAAAATAAAATATATAATATATTAAATATAAAATACAAAATAAATATAAAATATAAAAAATAAAATATATAAAATAATAAACAGAAAATTGTGGAAATAAAACTTTAGACGGTTTCACATTGAGGTACATCAAGTTGATTTGTATATTACATAAGTTGTTGTTGTCTTTGGTTGTTGTTGTTGTGGATTGTTGTTTGTTACTGTTGTTGTTGTTGGTGCCAAGTTTAACATCCGTCTTATCTAATGCTTTTCACTATACAGTAAGGACTTTTTACTTACAACAATTGGTTCCGCACTTTGTGCTCCTGTCTGTTTTATGTATATATATTTTGGTAACAATATTTTTGATGGACGAATTTTAAAATTGTTTTTCGATTTTATTCGATTTTTTAATGTTTGTTATTTTTTTTTTTTTTTAGACAAAAGCAAAAATGTACAATAAGATTTGTTAGCATTGAAAAGCAAATATGAGTATGAGATTTTTATATGCATGAAGAAGAAGCGAAACGTTTGGAGGCAAAGGACAAAGAGACTTTGTGAAGATATGCGAGAGGTATGTATGGCTGGGATAGTTAGACAGCTATAGCAATTTATATATATATATATATATACGATAGACATGACACAGTATGGAGCATAAGTTAATGGACATGAATTGGAAAGCATTGGGGGCTCGAAATTTACCAGCGGCTCATTGCTTTTGACAAGCTGAACAATCTTGATGGTCTCCTCGTCCTCGTCCATTTCGATGGGCACCTCCGGCAGATGCGGATAGAAGTCCTTCTGGGCAATCGCATCGTGGGCATAGAGCAGGTGCTAATCGGAATTTACAGCTGAGCGAAAGTTCTTAGACATTTATGTGTGCGTAGCTCACCTGGATATGGGAATCCTGCAGCAGGTGGAATGCCTCCTTGCAATCGTCGTTTAGATGACAACGCTGCGACAGCTGCTCCAGCACCTCGAAG